CTTCCTCCAAACCCACATTGTCACAAGACCTATAAAAATCCAATCAACGAAATCATAAGCTTTTTCCAAGTCCAATTTGTAGATTATACCCTTCTTTTCAATTCTCCTAAAGTCTTCGACACATTCATTAGCAATTAAGATCTGATGAGTGATTTGCCTATTCTTAACAAAAGCCCCTTGATTCAAAGTCACCCAAGAAGAGACAATTTTCTGAATTCTTATGGATAAAACTTTAGTTGAAATTTTATACAAACTGTTAACCAAGCTAATAGGTCTGAAATCTTTGGGATGGTCAGCTCCACTTTTCTTAGGAATTAGAGGCTTAGAGCAATGAATGTGGAATTCTATCTCAGATTAAATACACTCTTATGTTTAACACATCCCAACAATCTTTGATAAAAAGCCATGGTGAAACCATCTGGCCCTGGAGCTTTGTCTCTATCCATGGAAAACACTACTTTCCTAACCTCCTCCTCTTCAAAAGGTCTTTCCAATCAATTCTTTTGATTTCCTATTAGACTACGTCAATCCAAACCATCCACCCACAGAATTTCAACTGGAGGCCTTCTAGAGATTGATTTGAAATGCTCCACAAAGGCYTGTGCAATATCTCCCGGTTGGGTGATGACTTTACCTCCTATCTTTAACTTGGAAATGAAATTCTTTCTTCTTCTAACATTGGCCATAACATGAAAAAAATATTGTGTTCTTATCACCTTCATGAATCCATTTTGCCCTTGATTTTTGCCTCCAACTGTCTCTTCCTTTAGCATGTTTCTTTCAATTGTATTTTCAATGACTATATTGGCTCCCTATCTCTCTTCTTCAGTAAGCCTTGAATCTCTTTCATATCCACTTCCTCAATCTGATCCAACACTTCCTATTTCCTCACTTTTAATCTCCCAAAATGTTCTAGATTCCAATCCTTAATCTTAAACTTCAGAGCCTTAAACTTTTGGTGAAAAAGCATTTCCTTCCAACTGACCCTAGGCCTCTTTTCTTCCCTCCAACCCTTCACTTTTTGAAGAAATTCAATGTGGTTCAGCCACATTTTCAAATATGAAGGGAACAAGACCTTGACCCCTCAAATCCTCCTTATATAAAGAGATTGGCCAATGATCTGAAGTTACCCTAGGTCAAGCCCTTGATGTTAACCCTTCACAATGTTCCTCCAAGTCCACCGGAAAGAGAAACCTATCTAATCTAGAACATAAAGGGTTAATTTGAAGATTGGACCAGGTAAATTTATAAGGGAGGAGAGGCAAGTCCTTAAGCTCATAAGAATTGATGAAATTGTTAAATATTCTTATGCTTGTAGTGATTCTTTGTCTCGGGTTGTTTGTTTGTTCTGTGAATCTAACTACATTGAAATCCCCTCCAATACACTAAGACCCTTCCCACAATCTTCTGATATCACTAAGCTCTTCCTACAATTCATTCCTTTCTCTATACCCATTCAATCCAGAGACATTGGTTAGCTCCTTCACACATTTATCCTCCAAAGAATAATTATACCCCCTAAGCCTCCCAACCCCAAGAGGGGGTCAAAGCCCAGCTAATTCCTCTAGCCTTCCAAAGACTTGGGGCCCATCTGTTATCAAATTCTGCCAATTTGGGTTCCGACAAAAGAACTACGTGAAGACTTCCCTTCTTGAGCACTCCTTTTATGACTACACTTTTCCTCGCATTCTCCAAACTCTCACATTCCAATTCATTAAAGTTGATTTAACTTCCCTTTTACTTCCATCATCTTCTCTCCCCTCTTCTACTAGATTCCTTCTCACCCTTCAATATCTAATCTTAGTCTCTTTGCCTCACTTGCCCTTTCTTCTTGGTTTTCATTCCACCTTCAAGCTTCTTCATAAAAGCTTTCACTATTTAGGATTTTTAATTTTACAACCTAATTTCTCCACAAAATTTGCTATTGTATCATCCACTTTGTCTTTTAGCATACATTCTTCCCTCTCACCCCTAAACTCCTCACACCTGCTATCCACTATAACCCTCTTTTGTCCTGGACTCTCACCACCTGTCATCTCTTGCTCTTTTTCCAACTCTTTTTTTAATTCCTCAAGAAAACTACTTATGAGTTCCCAAAATCTTTCTCCCCTTTCATTTTCCTCTTTTTCCTCTCTACCTTCTCTATTTTCTGATACAAAAAACCTCCCCACTATCTCTCCTCCTTCCAAAACAAGGGTTCTTGGGTCAATGGGGTGGACAACTGCTATAGGATATGTTTCAGGCACAATAGAAGGGTTAGTACCAAAAACTAAAACAACCACAGTACCTGGATTTGGGTGCTGACCATGGAGCTATTCAAAAACTTCTCTACGAATGAGATTCTAAGAAGCTAGACTGAAGTAGCACAAACAGATGTACCCAAAGAAGTTGCGAGTGTAGAATGGAAGCCACCTGCATGTAGACCTGTTCATGGGCCGGGTGGTCGGACGGGCTTGAACATGTTTATAGGCCTGCGGGCTTAAACTTGGGCCAAAAAGCCCGACCCGCAAAAAATTCGAGCTTGGCTCGAGCCCAAGTTATAGGCCCGTTGGTCGGGCCGGGCTCAGGCTCGGACCTAGAGTATTTCCATTAATGATGAGTAAAAGCCCGGCCCGACCCATGAACAGGTCTACCTGCATGGAACAAACTAAAACTAAACTTTGATGGGAGTTCTTTTGGTAACCCAGGAAGGGCAGGTATAGGGGGTGTGGTTAGAAATCATCTAGGTGAAGTTGTGGCACTCTTCTCAGGACCCATAGGTATTGGTGACTCAATACAGGCTGAATCTCTAGCTCTACTTCAAGGTCTAAAGATGGCCGAGTAGATTGGAACAACAGATTTAGAAATAGGAGACTCGCTACTGGACATTTCTTGGGCTAAAAACATCACATCAGCACCTTGGAAGCTCAAATTTATCTTCAGAGAAATTGACATACTTGCAAGGAGGCTCAACTCTCAGTTTGGTTGGGTCAAAAGGACTACAAATGGGATGGCGGATGCCCTAGCAAAACAGGGGGCAAATCGATCTACCTTGTACTGGGCTAACTATAATTGTTTGTATGTGTTTGCATAATGGGTTAACGCATTACTGCAACCTATTGCTGTTGTAACTGTTTGTTAACTTTTTATCTATTATTAATAAATTTTTCTGCTGATAAAAAAAAATCATGTTTTCACCTCTCATACCAGGTGTGCCACAGGTTGTTGTAACCCCCGGGTGAAGCAGAATCATCATTTGCCATTGAGGGGGAGGGTCTACACTACAGAAAACAGAACCACGAGTGCACTAGACCAGTGCCCACACAACTAATATCTTTACAGTCACAATCAGAACGCTAAACCCCAAAAAACTTTACTTCTGAAAAGAGAAAAGTACTGCTAAAATTAGTCCAACAACAGTTCGGCCATTAAAACAGTCCAGTAATCAGTCCAGCAACAGTCTCGCCATTAAAACAGTCCACTAACAGTTCAACCATTAATAAGGAGCCATACCAACTGACTACAACACATACCTGTCATAAAAAATGGACCACATACCCCTGTCCAGTGCCTGTACGAAGGTGTAAACCCAGAAAAGAGGCCTTTGCAGCATTGACCACAGAGAAAAAGGGGACCACACACCCCTGTCCAGCACCTGTATGAAGGTGCAAACCCAGAAAAGAAGTCTTCACAGCATCGATCAAAGAGAAGAAAGGCCTTCACAGCATCGGCCCTCTTCTACTAGGTTTCCTTGGTGCTACGACCAAGGAAGAACCCAAAAATGGTAGTAACAAGTGGCCTGACCAGTTCAATTAGGCTTTTTTGTCTTCAACGTCCAAGGGATCAAGAGAAAAACTGGGAAGGGATTTGATTCAGATGAGAGAAAGGATCCCTATAGCCTAGAATTACGCTCTGATACCATGTTTTCTTTCTTGGAGAAGAGAAGGGAAGAGGGAGAGATCTGATTGAGAGTCAAAAAGTGTTGCTGCCCAGCTTCTTATTTATATTAACTTAACATAAAAGAAGTAGGAGATTACAAATACGCCCTGGCGGCACACCCTAATAAAAAAACTAATAAAAGGAAGAAAGGAACAAGCTGACAGCATCCTAGGCTGGCAGCACCCTAACAACAACTATAAAAAACAAATAAATAACCCTAACAATAAAGCAAAACCAAGTTATGGACATCCATCACTTCTCTGGTGGTCTCCTTCTCAAGCAGGGAGAGTTGAGTCATAGTGATAAGTGCAGATGCACATAACTCCAAATCAAGTGGTTGATTCCAGTTACTCTTCCAACTCTTTCTTGAGTCACTTTACTCCTCTCAGCCAACTGACAGATTCTTATGTCAATTTCCATTGGTCAATCCCATAACTTGTTTGTATATTTAAATGTTTACCATTTTAAAAAGAAAGAAGCAGGCATTTGGTGATTAATTGAGTTAGAAAGATTTTCCTTATTTGGAAAATTCAAATAAATTAGTAAAAACTCAAATATTGTACATGCCTAATTTTGTTTTACTATTAATAGATTTTAGTATTCATGTTTGGATTTATGGGACTGTAAAATTTAACATATAAAGAAAATATAGTATAACCTGATCACATTCTATGAACTTTAAAATTGTTAAATGATTTCTTGGCACCTGGAGTCCACACCATTCCCAGCCTTGCCAAACCGAATTCAAAATGTATCTGTGATTACAGACCTTCCTACTCGTGTTTGTGATTCTTGCAACATGTGGTTTTTCTTTCTTCCCTTGGTTGCTTTTCTCCTTGTATGCATTCTTGTGTAAGTGTCTTGGTTGGATCTCCCTGAAACCTTGTGTTCATGCCAAGAGAAGTGCATGTGAGTGTTGGTTATGTTTGAATGTGTGTGAATTGACTTTATGCATGTGTGTCTTTGCATGTTGGGCTATGCAGAGGGTCCCAATTTCCTTCAGTTGCAGAAGAAATAAAAAGTGGTGCCAGTGCAGATCCAGCCCACCGAAAGCTTTTTGTCCGTGGCTTGTCTTGGGGTACTACTTCAGAAACCCTGTGTGCTGTGAGTGCATTGATGATTGCCAATTGTGTGCCTGGATTGTTTGTGGAATGCTTGCCTGTAAACAAGACTTGAACACCGTTATTCCTCATTTGAAGAAGCATTGTGCTTCATTGTTCATCTCATCTTGAAAATTCAATGTGAACATTTCCTTACCATTTCTTCCCATCTTCTAACTAGAGTAGGTTATTCTGAGCTTTATTATTAACATATTATTGGTATCTGTCCAGGCATTTCAGGTGCATGGGGAAATTGAGGAAGGAGCTGTGATCATTGATAAAGCTACAGGAAAATCACGGGGGTATGGGTTCATTACATACAAACACATGGAGTCAACTCAGAGTGCTTTGAGAGAACCCAGAAAATTGATTGATGTAAGCAACAAATCAACATAATTTTGTTCATATGCAGTTGCTCTCTTTTGGAAATCTTCTTGTCTGAATTGGAATTTTCTCTATCACTTCAACATGGAATAAGAACATTTGACAGTGATACAAAAAGTTGTGACTAATGACTAATGGGATCAAATTGGTTGAAATTGTTATTTCATGTGACGACCCAATGAAGAAAAATACATTATAGTTTTCTTTGACTGTTATTTGTGAATACCTTGATAGAAAGCAAAATTGCACCAGACTCTGGGAAACTTTGTAATCTCATTTGGAGTAAATTTTCTTTTATTTTCTTCCTTTTCTTCCTCCTTTTGCTTCTAATACATGGGCAGTTATCTTACACAGTATATTTCTTTAAAAGAAAAGCAAAGCAAATTGATAGTGGCTTCTAGGGTTTTCATCTAAAGCTTAACAATATCATATTTGAAGTGATTTTCTTTGTTTCTTTAAATGTGGAAATTTCCCTACCCTCCTTTAAATGTGGAAAATTTCCCACCCATCTCATGTTATACAAGCTCCATGGTTGTTCATTATGAAAGTGAAATGTTCCATCTGGCAGTTTTGGCCTTTCTCCATTTCCCATCTCTGACATTGTCATGGTAATGACCACGTGTATCTTGAATGCATCTTTGCATGATGATTTCAGGGTCGCATGGCTGTTTGTAATCTAGCTTGTGAAGGCTTAAGCAGTGCTAATGTAACCGCTGACCAAGCCCTGAGAAAGCTCTACATTGGGGGCCTATCACCAGAAGTCACTAGTGAAATGCTGCTCAATTTTTTTGGCAGGCATGGGGAGATAGAAGAAGGTTCCGTTGCTTATGACAAGGAGACAAACAAATCACGGTACAAACCATGGAGCCTCTGATCCATGCTGTAGAAAGAAGAGCATTCTCTTTTTGATTTAGTACATATAATAGGTGTCTTTTTTCTGGTGTAAATAATCTTTCTTTATGTCATTGCAGTGGTTGTGGCTATGTTACATACAAGACAGTGGAAGCTGCAAAGAAAGCCATAGGGGATCCAAACAAGATCCTTGGGGTAAGCAAAGCAAAATGACTCTGAAATATTGCTAAAGTCTCTTGCATAACAACAGGTCTATCTTTATGTTCTTAATTTTTGGTAACTTGTTTGTTGTCCTTGTATAACATCACCTAGTAGTCATGCCTTATGTTATGGTGCTTCATTTATCACATATGTTTTTATAGGTTACAATGTGCATTCATTATTTTGTTTTCTACTCGGAATCAATGTTCTTCATTAGACTTTTGGTTGATAATCGTGTTATTATTTGGAAGGCCCACTATTCATCAACGTAGTCCTTAAATTCTTCTTGTAACTAGTCCTTTTTTACTTGCTCCCAACTTGTAGGCATATTGTGGAATTGTTTTAGAAAGAAAGGGTAGAGTTGATGTTATGGTACTCGTTTGCAAAGTTTTGGTGTTTGCTGTTGCCTGATTTGATAACTCTGGCTATTTTTAACATTGCAGAAACTTTGTGTTTTTAAAGCTTTTCCATGTTCTACTGTCACAGGGGAAGAACCTTACTGTTAAGCTGGCTGACACCCAAAAGGGCAAAGTGTTGCAGGCACAGCTACCGGCAGCAATGCTTCCAATAGCCATACCCATGCCAACCAACTGGCTTTGCACAGCCGGGGAATGCACATATTGTCAATACAGCTCCTGTTGGCTTTTCTGGTTACCCTCAAGCTGTACAAACATACCCAAACACTGCTTACCCAAGTCCTGCTGCTGCTGCAGTTGCTTCTAATCCACCACAAACTCAGATTCCTTATCCACAGGTAGCTGTAAAGAAAGACCCTGTTGGACTCTCTACTGCGCCACCTGCTGGAGTAGGTGGGTATCCATATTATATTGCCAAACAATAATATGAACCACAGTCAAAACATTGTAATATGGAAACATACATGCAAGCCTTTCCCAGGTTAAGTAATATCTTAAACGATAATTCATGCTTTATTAGTTTTCATTTTTCTTATTTGTTTATTTACTTATCATATTTTTTTATTTATCCTTTGTTTATGCAGTGTTCCATGGCTGATAATTTATTCAACTGGGTGAAGGTAATGCCGGGGCCGTTCAGAAAAATTACATGAAGGGAACTCCTACTTGTTGAAGTGATAATATTCTCGGGAGAGTTTTGGTAGGCTAGGAAACAAAAATTTTGATTTTTTGAGAGTTTGATGAGTAGAGATCTGGAACTTGCTTCTAGATCTCTTGCCACTTGAGCGTCGTATACAAATTCATTCTTACTATTAGCCTCTCAGGCATTAATCTGGGCCTATGCCTCTCAACATCAATCTGTTATATGTCAATTCAATAAGGAATCTATTAGAAATGTTTAGCTGAAAATTGTCAATTTTTATCATTAAATGGCATACATTCAGGGGAGAATGACTGATCAGTCCAGGTCAGAATTTTTTAGCCCCACCGTACAGTGGCGATGAATCCTGATCATGATTTATGGGTAGGATGCCGTTTATAGGGGGGCTACTAGTAGACTATGGGGAGCTGTCATTCGGAATTCTGCATTGGGTTGTAGTGTATTTGACCCAACATTCAGTTTATATAAAGTTTGGAAAAGTACGGATAGGCCTAATGCAGATTTCTGAATTCCAATGTAAATCTATAAATATTCAAAATGTCAAAAACTCGCACTTTATACACCTGAGACGCCAAATGTACTTTGGGCCTAAAAATTCTGACCCTGGGCTGAACTCTCATTCTCCTTAATTTCTGTTGTAGAAATGCATGAAAGGTGAAGGCTCTGGCGCTCTGCAACGGGCAATCAGATCCATACCCAGTTATTAGTGGCTAGAGAAACGGACGTGACTGATGGATTTAACTGGATCCACAAGGATCTCTCTTTCCTGGCCAATTGCCACACCTCTCTTGGTAGATATGTACTGCAAATGCGGGAAATGGAATCTATTCATTGGATGTTTAACATAAGTGTCCGACTATGATATGGAAAACCATATCATATCTAAAGCCTCTATTACAACAGTTACCAAATTTATTTAAGTAATCGATAATTATTTTTGTATATATTAATTAAAATTTAAAACACTCTTTAACCTATCTGTCAACTGAATTCCCGTTACCCATTCTTATCTCCTTCGAATTCCCTCTTCTAGTCGAACTTCTCCCTTTTGAAATCATAAATCCACAATTGGGTTATGGATTTGACCTAAGTAAAGGATTTGGATTTGGTGAATACATACCCCAGGATTTATGCGAGTCAAAATAATATTCATCTCCTGTAACCTTATAAATGGACGAGCAATTGGTTGATGGTTGTCAAACAAAGCTAGAACAATCTCAGGTTGAACTTTAATCACCTTTCCATTGTCAACAACCTAATCATCTTATGCATATTGTTTCAAAATAATCCTATCATCCTTATAGCATTTAACCTCTGCTCAATGTGTTGGGGATCCACCTCTGTATTTATTTTCCGTTGCAAGGCACCAATTCAATCCTTAAATGATCGCATTGTGTTTACAATTACCATGCCAAGACATCTAAGATTTAGCATGACAAGACAAGAACTGTAAAGCCTTGGTGCAACATTAAAACCCCAAAAACATAAATATCGTTCATCATTCTTCCTAGATAACATGGCTACCAAATGGAGTTCCTCCTCTCCTAGTGGCATAACTGCAATCTGTAAACCAAAAATCAACAAACACAAGGCATAGTAAGTGAAAAAAATGCTCTGAGAAGTTGAAAATAAGCACATACAGGGAAATAGTTATTGATTTGTATTTTCGGAGGAACTTATGAATGCTAACAAAGAAGCTAAAACACTTGATCAGTCGGTAAAAAGTAATTGAGTTGTATTTTCTTCTGGGTTGGACATATTTTTGAATTTGCCAACTAGAGAGATTTTGATATTTTGTTTTGTTACGATTTGTTATGTTGGAGTCGGAACTCTACCAAGAAAGACCATTATTACCAGTACGATGATATATTATACGCATTAGCATTTATAGTAATGTGAACAAAAACTGATCTTACCCTCATGAACTCACTCCCCACAAAAGAAATACAGATTAATGAATCAAAAACTAAATCTCCAGTGCTACAATTCATTTACTTCACCACCTCGGTAGTTGCCCACGGATATGTGCATCGTGGAACTCWTCTTCGATGGTAGAATCCTACAACAATCCCTCCTCGGTGACTACACAGGAAAAAAGAAATCTGATTAATAACCAAAATGCAAAAAAATACACCTCTCATCTCCTATAGACTACAGTCTATAGATGTGGTTGCAGGTGGTTAACAGAATAATAAGTACTTGAAGAGCTTAATTAATTAATTATTACCTTCTACCAGCAAAGGTTGTCTGGTCTCTTGAAGACGACAATGGACTTGATTGCAGCTGGGGAAGTCATTTTCCATCGGCAATAAAGGTTGTCTCTCTCTGCAGCGGGACTCGATTGTTTCTTGGCAATAAGGTTGGCATAACGCAGGGCATGGAGGTTGGAATTTGGAGATAAAGAGAGAAGGGGGAGGGTGACGTTTAACGGTGAAGACGTTAACGTCTTTCTTTATCTTCAAATGATTTTTTTTTTTTTTTATTTGAAATGTGATTTAAATAGTTGTTTTTGAAACTGGTTACCTGGGATAACCCGTATTCACCGAAACAAAAAGTCGAATGTTGATTGGTCCATCTCATCCGATATGATATGGAAAAGATCAAAGCTTTTCCGGTACCATGTCTTTTGGTATCATTGATTTTCCGTATGATAATATGCCCATGTTCCGTGTGGGACTGATTACATTTTATTTTTGTTAAGTGGAGTGATTACGTTCAGTTCCCTAATAAAAAGGAAACTGAACTAGTCGTGGTGAGTTGTCTTGAAAAAAGAATGCTTGTGATGAAGTTAAATGGTCTCATCTTTGAGTTTTTTTTTTTTCTAAAATTCAAAATATCACAAATTTCTGAAGGGTTGGGAAGCAATATGAGGAGAGAAACAGATGTGGACAAGTGCATTTTAAGTATATAGAATAGAAATTTTCTCCATCCATATGGGTACCTGGCTAGGATGGAGACTGCTTTGGTGGGGATGGGGAGTGAAGTCCCCGCCCCGCCCTGATCCCAATTACTATATATTAAATATTATTTATATTTTAATTTTTTTATTTTAAGTAAATCTTTTCCCAGAGTTAATTAAAAAATTGGGGATTTGGGTTGCTGATGACCCATCTTCGTCAAGATTGGGGATGGAGAGTATGAGCCCCACCCTGTTGTCATTCCTACATTAGAGTAGAGGTATGAGGTATCCTTGAAAGATATAATTGGTTTGGGTCTTAATTGGTTTTGAAGAACCAAAACCAATTATGATTGCGACATGATATCAAAATCCTACAAAATGCATTTGAGGATTATATGAAAGAATATCAGTGTCCTTGAATGTTATGATATAGGGCTATGGCTTGATGCACAATCCAACTATTTGAGAGAATGCAGGAAGCAGACCTTGTACCATTCCAAGTCATTTATAAACCTTCTGTTCCGCTTGTAGTAGTGGAGGTTTAGTTAGAGAAGTTTGGAGATTTTCATGTCTATACATAGGGGTGTTCAAATTTGGTTGATAAACCAAAAATCAAATCGAACCAAACCGAATAAGTTAATTCGGTTTGGTTCAGTTTTTATTTTTTAAAAAATCAGTTTTCGGTTTCAATTCGTTTTGACTGAAATTTTCAACCGAACCGAACCAAAAAACAAATTAATGCTGTTATTTAGTTAAATATATTAAATGTTAATGTTTTATTTAATACTTTATGCTAATTAATTATTATATTTTTCAATGAACAATTAATAATAGTTAATTAAAACCTAGACTCATTATTAATTGTTCATTAATCATTAATTACTTTTGAAAATGGCCAATTGGCCAATTCACCATTGGCATAGGGTTTTGGGCCTATTTTACCTTTTAATTAATAATACCTAATTAATTAAAACCATTGGGCTTTGGGATCATTCTAACTTTAATTAATAATAGTTAATAATTAATTAATTAATTAAAACCATTGAATTTTGGGGCCATTTTAACTTTTCATTAATAGCACTTATTAAATACTTGTCATTTATGTGAAACCAGGGTCCAACCGTACCAAACCAAATCGAATTTGGTTAGGGTTGATTCGATTAGAGGAAATGGTAAAACTGATTAGTTTAGGTTCTCAGTTTGAATCGAACCGAACCAACCAATTGTAAACCCCTATCTATACAAGAGACTTATGGGGGCTGAGCCCAGCAAAGAGCACTGTGCTTAGTGAAGGACATTCAAGTGCATGTCATGGATTCTGTTGTTGGGCCTTCTTGATGTAGAATCCATGGAAGAAACAATTTGACTAAAAAAATGGAGATTCTTAGGATGGCTGCTTAGGCTATGTTCTGTTAGCCATTCCACATTGATCACATTATGAAGGCAAACCAGGTTATTGGCTGGCTTAGCTTATTGATTCCACACTCTTCTCCAGTGGACTCGACTTCCGAGTAGGGGGAGTAGAGTCATGGTTGAGTCACACAGTGATAGTTCAGCAAGTGGTTGACTTCCATGACTGTTCTTGCCTGTGTTGGGAGCCAACTGACTAATTTCTCCAGGTCAATTTTCTTTGACCCAGACTGTTTGATAATGGTTGAATTGACTAAAATAAATGATTTATTGCATTGCCTGTCACAAGTAAGTTGCAAGGTTATAAATGGCTGAATGACATATTTTAGGACATAGAAGTTGTTTGTCGGGATTGTCTATGTTGTGTAGAGTTGTTGACTTGTTGCCTGTCAAAGAAAAATGCAAGCAGAAGTCCATCATTTTCCGGTGTATATTTGGTGAAACTGAGTTAGGGGTTGGAATCATTTATAAACCACAGTAGTAAGATGAAAACGAAAGCATGGGGGCTGGGTATGGGTTCACTACATACAAACACATGGAGTCAAAGTTGTGGCTAAGGGAAAATGAGAGCAAACCGGTTGCACTTGTTATTTCTTGGAAGAAAATATTTTCTAGCTTTCTTTGAATATTCATTAGTAAGTGCATGAAGATCATTATACAATTATACTTCATGGACAATTTGTCCAGGAAGCAAAATTGTCTAGCTTTTGGTGTCATTGTCCTTTTCCCCCTTCTTTTTTTTTTATAGAACCTTTCTTCTAATTCATAGGCAAAATTTTAGCAGATTCTGGAATTTCAATCTAAAACTTTTAGGGTCCATTTGTTTCATAATAAGAACTGGAATTAAAATCCTTTGATTCAGACAGGAATCAGAATTAGAATCAGTTGGAATGGGATTTCATACCCAAGGGAGGGGAGGGAATGGCCATTCCACCAAAAATAGGAATCGGACTCCAATTTCGTCCAACCAAAAACCCCTATTCCTGTGAACCAAATAGCCTCTTAGTATCATATTTGGAGTGATTTTCATTGTATGTTTTATTCCTTGTTCTTCCTCTACTTTTCTGACCTTCAAATATTTTTCTTTCACTTTTCTGTACATTCACCTATTCAGACCATATTAGCTGTTAGCCCTTTTGTGGATGGATGGGATTAATGAATTTGATCAATCAACTTATTATAGACTGTTTAAAGATTATTCATTTTTGGCTGACAAAAAAAAGATTATTCATTTTTACTTGTAAGGATGAAAAGAAATGCAGAGGGTAGGTTCACATCCAAACACATTTGTTTGCACATAAAACAAGTTGATTTCCTTGAAAAACACTACTCAATAGAAAAATCAATCATCATCACCACCATCAACATTGTCATCATCCAAACCTTATCCCAACTATATGGGATTAACCAAATGAATACTGTTTTGCCTGTCCATTCTGCTTAATGCCATATCCATCATTAAATTATTGGCACTTAAATCATTTCTTACTACTTCTATCCATGTCCTTTTTGGTCTATCCTTGGCCGTTTAGGCCCTTCAATTCAATAGGAAAATAAATCATCTTCTTAATTTTTTTCTAGTGTTTGACATGAAAATTAAGCCAAGTGTTCGATAAATATATTGGCATTGCTAAATTTAAAACAAGAGGACCAACATTCCAGTTAGAGAATGACTTACAAAAATTACAAGGTAAGACATTATGTTACAACTACTACTCACCTTCTGGAAATCATTTGTCTTCAACAGCCACGATCTGTACAAGGTATACAAAATTCCAGTTAGAGAATGAGTTACAAAAATTACAAGGTAAGACATTTTCTTACAACTACTACTCACCTGGAAATCATTTGTCTTCGATAGCCACGATCTGTACAAGGTATACACAAGCCCATAACAATTTAGAACCCTGTTATCTCAACCCATACACTATCAATGGAGGCTTCAATTGTTCAATTAAAATCATTACGAAAGATACCTTTTAGATAATCAGAATCTCTTGCTACTGTCAACTTGAATATAATGGTTGTTTGAGTTCAGCTTGATCTTGCACTCGAAGACCAAAGCCTAATCTAATGGTCTAAGAGTGGCACGAAGTGCTCATAAAAGAGTTTGAGGTGAGGCTAGAGCCAAGCCTGAAGTATGAAAAAGTGCATTGGCATGACCTGATGAATTTACACCAATCACCAAAAGGAGCAAAATGCACAGTTCCACAGTTATGCCAGACCGTCATTCTTTGTTTCTTTGTTTCTTCAGCGATCATTGTCCTCAAGTATAGGAAATAAGGAATATTTTTTTTGGTGAAAAAATAAGGAATATATATATTGATCAATAACATCAATTTTATTATTCTGAGAAGAAAGTGGTAAGTACAGACTGTTAAAACAGTTTAAGTTCATGAGAGATAAAAGACTCTTATCTCTCCCCACAAAACCCCCAAATCCCTTACAATTGTGCCCAAAACAATGAATCTCTCATCACCCCTTGCTTAGCTAATGAATCAGCTATGGCATTTGCACTCCACTTGACCCACCCTGTCCTTACTTCCATGTCTCTAGTTAACCATCTGAATTTCTTCCTTTCATTATTGTACATCCACATTTTCACTCTCTCAGCCTGTAGCCAGTTGATCACCAATTTTGAGTCTCCCTCCACACTTAGTTTGTTGATGTGCAGAGTTTTCACCCTTTGTATGCCTTCCATTACAGCCATGACTTCTGCCCTCAACGAGACTCCTTCCCCTGCCAGCCCAGAATATAGTGCAATAATTTTGCCCCTTTCATCTCTAAATACACCTCCAATGCCAGAGGGACCTGGATTCCCTATGCTACTACCATCGAAATTTAATTTAATAAAGCCCCTGTCCGGTGGGCTCCAATGATGAATTGTGACAGCCTTAACAGTGGAAGAATCTGCCACTGCCCTCCAGTTCCTCAATATATATTATTCTTCAAGTATTCAAAGCACCAAAACAAAACTTTGTTAGATTACCTACTTTAGCTTGGAAATTAAACACATTTTTCTGGTTAAACCAGAACTTCATCCTCATGATGATAAACTTTGGTGTAAAGATCTCAGCAAGTAATTTTTCATCTGCAAAGCAAAGCACCTTGTCAGACAGAGAAGTCACTAAGACCAACAAATCAAAATGCTATGGACCTAATCCATTTATGCATGCCTTGCTGCAGTGATCTAACAACTAATGGAAGCCTGCAAACCTATCTCATTATGATGCATCGCCTGCCCTAACAATCTTCCTGCAAACCCATCCTCCAAAGCCTAACATGAAGTGATGAATACCTGGCATGCTACATTCTTCGCAAATACATTGATGTACATAGGTTGCAGGTTGACATACTGTTTCAAGGTAAGTAACTGATATGGATTGTCAATAGAGCATCTCAGAGTTCCAATATTGCAATTATCAACCTATCATGAAGTGATGAATGTCTGGCATGCTACATTCTTCGCAAATATGTTGATGTACATAGGTTGCAGGTTGACATACTGTTTCAAGGTAAGCAACTGATATGGATTGTCAATAGAACATCTCAAAGTTCCAATATTGCAATTACCAACCTATCATGAATCTAGTGTTATTTGACTGCAAGCAACAGAAAAAAATAATAAGATGGCAATTCATATCCACAACATTTTCAAGAATATCAAAATTAAGAATATAGGCTCATATAATCAGTTCATTAACAGTGGACATCTAATTTTAGATTGAAGATATAGATTTCTGTAACCTTTCCCATTCAGCTGAACCTTCTGGGTGGAGATTTACAAAATATCTTACAAATCGTGCATCTGAGCATGCAAGTATTGTACTCAAGGCCACTCTGCGCTTTGCTGCACCTTTCCTTCTAAGCCATAAATACATAGAAAACCTAAGATTTATCCTTTCTATATCATAACATAAATAAGATGGAAATGCCACTACAGATTTGAGAGGGTAGCCAAGATGATTTACTAGATAATCGATCTTCTTCTCAATTACATCCTTAGTTTGGTTTAGCACTGCTGGAGCTACTTTGACCATGTTAGAGACAACATGGTAGTCCAATCCGGCATTTAACAAGCAATCAAACCTCTCCTGCAGCTGATCCCCTTTACCACGGAACTTTTTCAGAGCCTTCATCATCTCATCTGAGTTCTCGACGTACCCCAATCTCAACAAGAATGATGTCTTCTCAAGCAGGATCTTTCTATCCTCAGCTGCTAATTTATGCAGTCTGCCCATGGAAGCTGCATGCTCATTGCTGCTTAGTTTTGATTTTGAAGCCAAACTACTCAACTTACGTGGATCATCCTTTATAATCTCACACAGCCTATCTTTACTCATGTCTAATTTCTTCAAAATGGTACTCGGTTTCTTGAGAGAACATGAACCCAGAAGTAGGGTCTGCATGGATACAATTTTTGCAATATCTTGAGTTTCCATCCCAATCTCTGCCATGAAATGCACAGCTCCCCACAGATTTTTAGCAAAATTTCCACCAAGAATTTGTGGATATTGTAGAAATAAAACAAGAACCTCACTCATCTTGAGACCTAGTTTGAGTAACAAAGCAACCAGCATATAAATCTTTTTCCCTGAATCTTCGAGCAAGAACCCAGGATGCATTTTGAACAATCTTCCCATGTCCTTTTCACAACAACCCATTTCTTCAAGAAAACATATCATGTTAAGCATTCTCTTCCAATTATATATGCTGTTGTCCAACAAGTAGCTTCTGATCCAATCTTGTTCAATGCCTAAATGCTTCAACTTTTCAAGAATTTGAGCAAATTCCTTATTGACATTACCGATCAAAAGTGATGGGCAACAGATGACCAACTTGATGACAGTTGCCTTACTAAGACCAAGTTCTTCATAAGCTTGGAGTTTTGAAGCCAAAATCCCATAGTCATATGCAAAAATTTCCCTTGCCTCCTTGTAAATCTTACCAATCTTAGTACGAGGAATACCATAATTACACAGAACATGATAATTCTCCAGCATGATATCATCATCACTAAGAAAAATCAGGTTACGCGGAAGAAGGGAGGGAAGCTCAGATGGCGATAAACCCAAGCTCTCAAAGAATGGTTCAAATTCATTAATGGGATTATAGCGAAGGAACCTGGATAGTGACCGAGAGACCTCCTGCTCACTCTCAACCTTGGAGAGCAGATTCTGAAGGAATGCCGGTGAATTCTTGCTAATGTGCTCTGCATCAGTGAAGTGCAAGTTTCTAGTACAGTGTAGATAATCAAATAGCGCATCCTGAGCTTCAGTTCGTGCAACTCGAGAAATACGGTTTACAATTGTTGAACAGGACGGATCAGGAAAAGAGATTTTTCCAGCATTGACAGGCCTACTATTGCAGAAAAATCGAATTTTCTGCAAGTTCACCAAGTTTAGAGAATCAACAGAAGAAACCCAGGGGCAGTGAGTAGGTCTACTACCGCAAAGAAATCGAACTCTCCCAAAGTTCAATGAATTCTCAGAAACAACAGGAGAAACCCATGAGCAATGAAATTGCAAATTCATCCTGGAGATACAAGTAATACTTCTAAGGATTTGACGAACTATCATGACAAGTTGGAGAGAATCAATTAAAATCTATTTGGGTTGGTGGGTTTCTTTATTTTTGCACGAAGGAGGTAAATTGAGGACATCAAAAGTATATCTGACAGAGTGACAATCTATTTTTTGTTGGTTTTCTAACTCTGGAGTTTCTGATCTCTCACATCTCTACATAATAAAACGGATTTAAAACAAGTAACGAAGACTTAGCAGTAACTTGCCTCAGCAGGGAACATGCTTAGATGCATAAATAGCTTCATTCCAACCCAAAATTATCAGAAAAATTGGGCAAAGCTTCAAACTGGGTAGGTTCTCTTACCTTTGATTTCTGGGTTTTTTATACTTTCGCTTCTTGCGACGGAAAGATTAACTTGATCGAGCACATTGTGTATCCGGCATTACGTTCTTCAGAGAGAAAGCCCCCACAGGAGCTTGGCTTTTAAAACCCTAGAGGGTTTTATTTGTCAGAGTATCTAATAAGTATCGCTGATTTCCTTGGCTAAGGCCGCGTGTCTCTGTTATGCGAATCAACGGTTCCTGTGGTGATTTATTGAAGACCAGAATTTGCCAAATGACCGAAATAACCCCTGCAGAGCAAACCTTCGATCGTTTAATCTAAAACCCTTACCAAGCTCCTCGAATGGCTGCCAGTGAAGTAGCAGCAGCAGTAGCAGAGTAGCGGAGGAGATGGAACGATCGTTGCTCGTGCTATTCTGATTGGAAGTAAGGGCATCGAATGCGTTCCTTGAAGGTAAGAAAATCGACCCAAGAAGATCGTATCTGCTACCAGTTATAGAGTTGATTTCGCCTCTTCTCTGTGAAAATATAATCAAAATCCCCATGACCCACCTATGGAAACTCAAAATACCATCTCTTCTCAAATGCGTTTCTTTGAACGTCTTAGCAAACCAGGGCAGATTATGGAATACCCCATTAGTTTACAGTAGTATACACGATGTAGAAACCCCAATTTTTTGCATTAGTAGAGCTGCTCATGCTGATAGTTCTCAGATTTGGGATCAGAACTCAACGCCCAACACTGAAACTGTAGCACGAGTGTCTCGTAATGCACGAGCTGAAGCCCAAGCTGCTCTGTTGGATTACCTCCATTGCACCCGATGCTTGCAGTTCACTGATGCAGAGCACATGAGCAAGAACTCCCCGATTTTTCTCGAGAAGCTTTTAAAGAAGGTCGAGAATGAGCAAGAGGTTGGGCGGTCGCTTACCAGGTTCTTTCGCTACCACCCGATTAATGAATTTGAACCCTTCTTTGAGAGCATAGGCCTTCAACATTCTGAGTTCTCAAAACTACTTCCTCGGGATATGATGTTCCTGAGTGATGATGATCTGTTGCTGGAGAATTATCATATCTTGTGTAACTATGGCATTCCTCGCGATAAGATAGGAAGGATTTACAAGGAAGCTTTGGAGGTTTTCCGGTATGACGATGGAGTTCTACGTTCCAAACTCCGGGCTTATGAAGAACTGGGTATAAATCGATATAGTCTTAGTAGGTTTGTGGCTACGAGTCCTTCTCTTTTGGTGGGCGGTGTTCGTGCTGCATTTGTTAAGGTTTTAGAGGAATTGAAGGGTCTAGGGATGGAAAGTGATCGGATTCTTAGCTCTTTGTGTCAAAAGAATTCTTATAACTGGAGCCGAATACATGATATTCTCTGCTTCTTTAGTAAGATGAGCTGCAATAAGGAACAGTTGGGGGAATTAGTCAGAAGTAATCCAGGGCTTCTATTTGAAGGTTCTGGGGACAAGACATTTTCTCTGATTGGGTTGCTATTGAAACTGGGATCCCCAACAGATGAGATATTGTCCATGTTTCTGCAGTTCCCACAAGTCCAAGTTGGGACCTTTGTGAAGAACTTTAGGCAGGGTTTACTATTTCTGATTGAGATTGAAATGGAGGCTGAAGAGATTTTGAGGATTGCACGTGGCCACGCCCTAATGTTGGGTTCATGTTCATTGAAGAGACCAAACAGTGTGCTTAGTTGCTTGAACATTGGAAAGAAGCGATTGTGTAGAATTATACAGGAGAGCCCTCAAGTATTGAAGAAATGGATGCTGGGCTCAAAGCTTGATGCATTGCCCAATTCAGGAGAGGAAAGGAGGTCCCTGGAACAGAAGACTGAGTTCTTGCTAAAACTAGGCTTCACCAAGAACTCAGAGGAAATGAAAAGAGCACTCAAGGTGTTCCGTGGCAAAGGAGGAGAACTTCAGGAAAGATTTGAGTGTTTTGTGACAGCTGGTCTGGATAGGAATGACGTTGTAAAGATGATCAAGATCTCTCCTCAGATTCTCAACCAATCAAGAGATGTAATCAAGATGAAGATTGATTTTCTTGTGAACAACTTGGGTTATCCAATATCATCTCTAGTGACATTCCCATCATATATTGCATATACAATTGAGAGAGTCAAGCTTAGGTTTTTGATGTACAATTGGCTCAAGGATCAAGGCATAGTAGAACAGAATTTGGCATTGAGCACCATTGTTGCATGCTCCGACAAGATATTTATAAAGCAGTATGTAAAACACCATCCCAAAGGCCCTGAAGTTTGGGAGAAAATGAAGAAAGGATTATCTTTTATGTAGTTTGGACTTGTATTGGTTTTACAGTGCTAATTATGCCCTGGTTGGTGCTGACACTCCTGTTACTGTAAATAGACAACCGAGTTCCACCACATTCATCATACAGTAAGAATTGATAAACCATGCAAAGTAAATTGAAGCCAATTTTTTCTTCATTTATTTGCACAGATTAGCAAATATCTGGAACCAAGCTGAGTCAAGATAACTGTATTAATTTCTTTCTTTCACCACTCTACACTGACTGTTATAAAATGACCCCTTTTTTATCCCATTAGGTTGTATTGATGTCATTTTCGGGTTAGGCATATTCAATCCATTGCTGTGGTACGTTGCCCAAGAAATGCTGTCTTCAACTATACCCACATTGTAACGAATTATACACTGTGCCTCAACTGAGATTTCCTCTTATATTAAGTGATTCAAGTCTCCGTTCTTCAAGTAACTGCTTGGAAGTTGTGGCATTAAAAAAATATCTATTTCTTTTCTTTTTTATCTTTAACCATATTTTATCAAGAAACTGTGACATCAGAGGAATAACATGATGATGTTAAAGCATGAGGACAGAGAATGAGAGAACACAGTAGCCTTTTTGAGAAAAACAGAATTCATTGATAAAATGAGGGGTACATGATGTGATGTACATAGGAGAGCACAGTAGCATGCATTATGTGTCTTATTCTTACAATCACAAGCTTGTGCATGGTTCCAGTTGACATTATCCATGTCATATTATGCCACCAATATATGAACTTTTCCTATAGCTATTGCAAGTTATGCCATTGTGCACATCAGAATCAACATTTATGATCTGCTTAACCAGAAAGAACTTATTTGAGAACAGGAATCTGTAATCTTGGCATTCAAACCAGATATTTTCTTTCTCAATCATGCCACAAAAAACAATGGATTCAGAAATTTCATGGGTTTATCCTGATTGAGATCTGAGTCATGACACATATGGTTATTGACTAGTTTTTCGTTGCCATTATAGGCCCTGTTCCATGCCTGCAACTGGGCCAGACGGCCTAAAGAAAGGTCATTGTTGTTTTGGCTTTTAGGCAATGTTTCAAAAGTGAGAAGCACAGGAAAAGCACAAGGAATTCCTCAAGCCTGGGGCATATGTAGGGGTGCAAGTCAGGTACCCAATTTGATGATTTACACTGCATCGGGCCTTGGTTTTCAGGCTGAACCCATTCAAATTTTAACAAATTCCTAACCCAAGCTTGCCCGGTTACAACTCTAGGCATATGGTGCAAGGTGTGGAAAGATATGAAACAACAAACAAAGCTTAATATTGGTAAATTACCTATTAAAACCTCAAACGACAAATTCAAGGTAAATCCAAGCATCAAAACATAAAAACATGCCAAGTAACCTATTAGCCTATGGTTATTAAAATCTGAAATCTTCATTTTCCAAAAAAAAATCTGAAATCTTTTTTTTTGTCGTAATGCAAATCTGAAATTTATAACTAACCAACAAACAAATACACAAAAGTTAACCATAAATCAAGTAATTAACCATTACTTATATTTGTAACAAAGAGAAGGAGAGAGAGAGAGTAAAAAGCTGTGGGAAGAAAAAAAAAAATGAAGCAATCAAAGTATCAAAACATTCATCTTACTTTTCGTAAATAGAAATAATTGCAAATTATTAGCAGAAAATAATTATGGTCGCATTGCTGCAAGGAGGAGGAAGAAGGGGAATAGAGCAGGGGATTGCAATGCCCCAACCTAGAAATGAGAAGAGAACAAAGAGAGAGAAGTAACTAGTTTTCCAAAATGCCAAACATCTTTTTCTTATAATATAACAAAGCATATTCATTTATTATATTTATTTTTATTTAGTATGATGAATATATAATATTAGAGACGCACTCAACTTTTCTGCATATTTTCTGAAATTGCCTATATTTTTCTATAATTTTATATATTTTTATGTTTTATTACTTAATTTATGAATCACGTGTTCATCTGTTTGATCTGGATGGTTGAACCACGCCCCTGCCACCTCAGTGGAAAAATGATTCCATTTTCCTGTTGTTTTTTGAAATGTAAGGCATTCTTAATAACTGATCCACATTTACAAAACTTGTAACCTAATAAGAAGATACAACACAAGCAGATCCGAGTAATCTTGACTGTATCACCCACTCTCTTTTGAATAACCCAATGAAATGATGCTATGGTTAGTGACTTAGTGGATTCACCTAATATTAATCGCAACATATCAGTGTATATTGAACATTAGAACCTTTCCTAATATGTTTATCATTGAATCCTTTAACTGAAAAAATATCGGCCTTTTGAATCATGCTTACATAATTTTTGCACATCCAAAATGTCAATACTTTGAACAATGCTCTGCTCTGCACCAAGTATCACATCAAAACAAAATGTGAGAAAGAGATTCCTTGTTCTTAAAGGCCGTGTTTGGTTTGAAGGAAAATGTAAGGAAAGAAAAGAAAAAGTAGGAAAAATCTTTACAAATCTTTCATAGGTTTTTTTAACTTTCCCTTTCTTTCCCTTACATTTTACTTCAAACCAAACATAGCCAAAAGGAATTCAACCTGTACATTGATCGTTGCTTTCCATACATTGTAGTCAGACAAAATTCGAGAGCAACCATATCGCTACTTAGGGCCCATAATTTAACAATGGATGTAGCATCGAACATAATGAAATGACAAAATGGGATTCATGTAGACATGCAGCCAAACCCATATAGTTGGGGCAATCATGGCAGAAAAATTCCATGTGGCACACATGGCTATGTCACGTGACATAAATGACTGCCATGTGACACATGTGGCTATGCCACATGGCACCATATGTTTATTGCCACATGGCATCTCTAGAAATAATACTACGTTGTGCTTTTACAGCACTGTGCAAATAGCACAATTGACTTTCAATGTAGGCTCAAACCAAAGCCAAAAAGCAGAAAGCRAAAGCTTATCCAAAAGCAATCTAAACTATTAATGCCACTTTATCATATAAGTATATATATATAGGAATATACATTTTGATATCTAATAATTTAGAAAATATCAGTTATAAATTGCTTTTAGATAATTTTATCAGTTACAAACTTGGAACCAACATGGTTCCACAAAAGTTTGTTAGATTATAGGAGTTACAATATTAATTACAAGGGGGTCTACTGGACCTGGTACATGCTTTTTGGATTTCACATATTTAAACATTGATAATAAGGATCTGTTTCGTTTGCAGGAATAAGGTTTTGTAATCAGAATTTCATTTTCATTCTTGGTGGAATGGCAACCCTACATTCGAGGGAATGGCCATTCCTTCCCCCTCTCTTGGGGATGAGAATTCATGCCAACTGATTTGAATTCTAATTTGGACTCCCATCTAAATCAGACTATGGGAATAGACCCTTCCGATTCTAATTTTAAAGGATTTTGATTCTGATTCCGATTATAAATCAAACGGACCCTAATTTTAGTATTTCTTAACAACCCATGGCTATTGATGGACTAAAAATTCCATATGTGAGAATAAAATGAATAAAACTGTTAATGTATTAGACTTGATTGGATGTCATATGAAGCAAGAGAAGAATTAGTACTTTGGCAGCGAGTTAGATTATGAACTATGAGGATCTGCAAATTATTACAAAGCTATGGTGGATGATCTTGTGGAATTCTATAGGTATTAATATAAAGATAAAATCTCGTCCTCATTATGCTCTCCATTATATCTTCGTTTTGAATGTTGAGGACTAATAAGAATGGAGCCCATGGAGGTCTCTTTACAACAAGAATCATGTAAAGGAGAATGGAGATCAGCACAATGGAGGTCTAATCCAAGGTATTCATTCAATTCATTCTCCTATTGAATATCATTTTCGAAGAAAATCACTTGTTCTCCTTTGTTTTATTAACAACCGAAACAGCCTTAAAGTAGGTTGCTGGTCAGATTGTTTTGCAAGGGATGAATGACAGAAACATTTCATGTGAAAAATTGGATTAAGGCCCAAAAATGGCCCCATGTATTCTTTCTGACTGCACAAGTTTAGTATTAAAATACTAAGGCCCCGTTCGTTTTTCAGTAAGTTACTTATTCGGGTAAATGTATTTACCCGGTTAAGTGTTTTTTAGAAAAGACTTATTCGGGTAAGTGCATTTACCATTTTTTGTATTTCCAATGTAAATAAGGCAATGACCATTTTAGCCATAAAAATCCATTATTAAAAGGGGCATTTTTGTCCCTTTCAAGTGTTGGCAATTTTCCCCTCCCAAGTGGGAAAGTCATTTACCCATCTAGGATACCTAGGAAAATAAGCTTTCCCTGAACCCCACATAAATCTGAAAAAAAGAACATGAGATTCTTGGTCAATAGGAATCAAAATCCCATTGACCAACTTCCCCCCTCTCAAAATCTAGAAAAAGAACGCCCCCTAAAATTCTTAATAACCAATATACTTGTGGAATAACAGCTGAGGTACAAAGCTGAAGTAAGAGGATTGAACAATTGGCCAATCGGAAAGATCACCTACTATATGATAGATTTTGTAGAGAAAGTTCTAACTTGACCTGGTTTGGGGAACTTTTTTTCCTACTATTATCACTATAGTAGAAGTGTCTAATGTACCGAAAGGTTTTATTAAGTACCTAACAAGTTGATAAACAATCACTTAACATATTTTCATTGAGTCCGGATAACCTGCCAACAAAATCCGTTCCAACACCATCTGACACTGTACATCTCATATATGATAAGCTCCACCTTTATGGTAACCCCAATTTCATAATGAGATGTGTAGTGTCAGATCAAGTTGACAGGGTATTGGAATGCAATTTGTTGGCAGTAGATCCCAACTCATTTTCATTCAGATGAGATCTTGATTGTTTTAGAGTTGTACCGGTATACCTTCATGGCACCATAAAAATTGCCTTAATTAAAATACAAGTTAATGATTTATGAGGGAAGTCAAATATAAAACCATGATCAGATAAATGGATCAAATAGTCCTTGAGACTTTAGAGATCAGCGCAGCCTCAGGCCTCTTTTTGATTGAAGAATTTTGAAGGGAAAAAAAATTTCTAATCCTCACACCAAGTCCTGTGTGTTTGGCAAGGGGATGAAGAATACATTAACAAATTAATGTTGATTTTCCCTTTTTGTAATTACATTTCTCTTATTCGTTTCAATGCTGAATGGGATTTAACTTCGCATTTTGCTCAAAATGGAGACATGTTTATTTTTTATAAGCTTAATTTATTTAACTTGAATGATGTTGAAAATCTGCAACTACTTTGCAGAGACATTCATTCATGATCTTTTTATGTCGTGGTTCTTGTTTATAACTTGGACAGTCGAATAGGTGAAGCTCCAAACAACCCAATACATGGAACTGCAATTGTTGATCTGAAGTACATTTAGGGGGCGTTCTTTTTTTTGGATTTTGAGAAGGGGGAAAGTTGGTCAATGGGATTTTGGTTCCCATTAACCAAGAATTACATGTTCTTTTTTCAGATTTATGTGGGAACCAAGGAAAGTTTATTTTCCTAGATACCCATCTCCTTGGTAGATAAATAACTTTCCCACCTAGGGAGGAAGTTGCCAACACTTGAATGGGACAAAAATGCCCCTTTTGATAATGGATTTTTATAGTTAAAATGGCCATTGCCTTATTTACATGAGAAATAAAAGAATGTGGGTAAATGCACTTACCCGAATAAGTATTTCCTAGGAAAAACTTTACCTAGGTAACTCATTTACCCAGGTAAATAATTTACCGAAAAACAAACAGGACATTAAATTTTGCAGATGATAATCAGAAATGGGTGGTTAACCAGAAAGGTGGAGCCTAAAGAAAAGGACAAAATATGACACTGTTAATTGAGAGTAAATTCAGTTATTATATCAAAGAAATGAATTGTGTATTGGACGCCCATGCAAGTATATATTTTTCATCTTAGTTCAATGAAAGAAGGCAACAAGCAGGGATGAATTCACTATTTGCCTCACATTTTCTGCCAAAATGGGGTCTCCCATTCTTATTATACATCGCTTGTCCATAAAATGCTAACAGATAAGCTTGATTTCAATCTATGGCTAATCATCATGAAATTCCACCATCTTCCTTCCAAAACTCTGAAACCATGAAGATGAAAGAAAATTACATGACCTTGTAAGAGTACACCACTATTACAGAAAAGGGTAAGAACACAGTACATGCATATGAAAATCAATAAGAACAATTTCATAGGAAAACACTTGGCTCCTACCCGTTGATGAACATGCATCCTACCAAACACTTGGCTCCTACCCGTTGATGAACATGCATCCTACCAAACACTTGGCATTTAGGCTTTAGGGTTTAAGGGTTTAGAATTTAACTTGTAGGGTTAGGGTTTAAGGGTTTAGAAATTAGATTATAGGGTTTAAAGTTTAGAATAGGGTTTTTAGGGTTTAAAGGTTCTAGAGTTTAGATTTTAGGGTTTAAATCTGAAAATCAAGTGGTGTAGGGCCATACTAGGGTGCATGTCCTCCAACAGACTACAAGAAAAATGACTTTTAGCGGCAGTTCTGACTGTCGCTAATACTGAATCGGCTGCCGCTGTAAGTTTGGTGCGTGTTTTTTAGCGGCAGCCGTGGACTTCTTCTTTAGCGGCGACTGCCACTAAAAGTATACTTTTTTTCAAATAACCTTTTTTTTTTTAATTTTTCCTAATTTTCTTCAAATAACTTGTTTTCTCTATATTCATTTAAATCAAAATGAAATACAAAAATAAGAAACATCAATTACAAATAAAATCTAAAAACCCATTCTCCATTCAAAACATTCAAATCACAAATACATCTTAATTTCAATTTGGTAATTCCTTGGTTTGTACAAGAAATATTTTCTTCACAATGCATTCAGTTCTAGAGTCAGACTTCTCACTGCCTGGTAGAATTAGTCCTTTGTTCTCTTGAGTCTCCTCTATTTGTGGCTTCAAATTGATCTCTCTAAACATTTGCAGTTCATCTCCAATTGATGGGCATCCCTCAGTGTTCAAACTGTAGTGTTTCAGGTCTTCTTTCTCACAGAGATTCCGATTTTGAGATGACGAAATCCATGCAGGGCAATATATTCATGTTGAGTAGTTGCAAGGAAACCAAGCACAATAAGATACCAGATGCCCTTGTTCTGAAATTTCTTCAAGATATGATCATCATCAACCTTGCTGAACCCCAAAAATAGAACTATTATTAGAGGATGTTATAGAAAATGCTGCTGCTTTCTATAAATGACTGAGGCATATTATTGTCCTTGGCCATGACAGGGAAAAAGTGTCATAGCTTACAAGATGAGAAGATGCAAATAACTCAAGCTCAAAGAACTAAGATTCCAAAACTGACCTGTTAGCATCATATGTATCCCCAGCATAAAAGTGAAGAATGGCCCCTGGAGGATCACCAGTATCAATGGTTATATATCGCCTAACCTTACCAGCAACACATCCATTGACCTCAGGCTCCATATCATCCTCACTTGCAACAGAACTGTTCCTCTTAGATCTGGCTGCTTGATAATGTACCCAGTTAACATTACAAGCAGTAAATATGAACAACACACAATAAATATGTGGAGAGAAGGGGCAGAAATTAGTCATAAATCAAACCTGTTCCAGGTCTTGGGGATGAAAGAACAGCAACATCACCTTCCTTAAACGTCCATTTGGTTTCATGCATAGGAAGAACTATTACATCATACCATCCTAAAACCCACAAATGATTCTATAGTTTAAAGAAACTAAGATAATATTAACAATCAAGAAAATGAAGAAATGACCTTTAAAAGCATAAAGCATTATCTGTTCAATAGAATTAGTTATACAAACAACCAAATACATCTATGAAGCGAGGTGCCAACAAAGTGTCTTCAGAATTCAATACACTGAAGGAAACACTACCAGGCACCGATCTCTTATCTTATTCATTTACTAATATAACACTCCATAGGAAAGCAAATGATGCTGACAACATGGACAAGATATTTCTCCCAGAGAAAGACATGCTGTCACTAACATGACAAACACAGTTGTATTATATTCTGTGCTATATTATAACACATTGAAGTTTCTTCTACAGATTCAAAACGTCCCGGAACACATTGAAGTTCTGTCTCCTCTGATAAACAAACACAGTTGTATTATATTCTGAAACAGAAAAAACCCTGGAACATAACATGCTACATTGCTACCAGAAATGAAAAGAACCAACAAGCCAACAAACTTAGTATATATGAGTTAGAAATACAATCCTCAGATGAAGACTTAAAGAGTGTAATGTGGAAGCTTCATTCACCACATTTAGGCTATGTTTGGTTTGAAGGAAAAGGTAGGGAAAGGAAGGGAAAGGTAAGGAAACCTTTACAAACCAAACCTTGTATAGGTTTCCCTGTCTTTCCCTTCCTTTCCCTACCTTTTCCTTCAAACCAAACATAGCCTTAATGGTTTAATCTGTTACCAGTGCTTCATTGCACTTCAGCGGAAAGCTTATACATATATCATCCATGAAACTCCACAGGAACTTTTTTCTTCTAATTTGGCATTTCCTCTCGTATTGTGAAAACTAGATAATTTAGGATTTACAAAGAACTATTATTTTGAGTTATCTTTTTATTTCTCACTTGAGAAGTCCTAAAAAGTCCTCTGATTAGGATTCAATTACAATCCCTTGAATTTAGCATTCAACATGGCCACTCTAAAAGTTGGATGCCTACCAACTGAAGCTACATGGGATCCTTCTACCATGAATGGACCCAAAGTTCTTCAATCCACACTTTCGCAAATTTAAAATCCAATATAAAACTAAATTCCTGGCCTTCCCTCTATTAGCACTTGGCAGTATATTATGGCACAGGGTAGATTTTTTTCTTTGTAAAATCCTGTTATCTTTCTTGTATAGATAGCATATAAATGTACAAGCTTAGAAGGAGGCTCCCCCTCCATTTAATAGAATATTTCACAATTACTTATCAAAAAATTAAAAAAAAAAAAAAAAACATAATGGCACATGCAGTAAAGGCACAAAATATTTGGTTGCATTCCAATATTCTCTATTCATCTTAGTCATTTCACCATGACAATCAGACTATACTAGAAGCAATATGGTCAAAATGATACAAATATTTTTCCAATAATACACCATTTCAGTAACTCTCTGAAACTTTTCCATCAAGTAGCAAGAGTCAAGAGACTATTAGCTCTATACCCAATGGATAGTTTAGAATAACTTGATCTTTTCCAAGTGATCAATATTTTTATACCAAAACTACCCTGTTGCAGTCCAGTCTGGTCCACAGGCACTCATTTGTCTTTCCAACCTTTACAACATTAGTTGCCACGATTTTATATGGAGAAGACAATTCAGATTTTGTTTCACATTGCCTGGTAAGTAAGGCTTAGTTTGGGAGTACAAATACAAATATGTAGAGTGCAAAACCTTATATTTTGTATGTATTTGTACTGCACATATTTGTATTTGCACTCTTTCCAAACTAAGCCTAAGGAGAAAATCAGAATGGGGGTTGCAATTGAAACTTTGAGAAACATACAAAACACAAAAAGAATAAAGTTGGGATACAATGGGCAGTGGAACTCTAAATAGAAGGCCAAAAAAATGCATATAAGATAATCAAGTGAACCAAAAAGCATAGAAACAAAAACCAGGATATAGTAATTGAAATAGTCAATAGATAATGGTTTGAAATACAAAAATGTAATTAATTTCAAGAGGAATTATTAAAAGAACCTCGATCCAATCCACCACTAAAACACAGACAGGTCAGTAATGAAAATAAATTCAAAGAGCTTCACAAATAAGTTCAACCAATGGGCTAGGCCTTCTGATTTTGGGCTTGATGCAGTTGAATAGTAGAGAGGGCATTTGAATTTGGGCTGGGCTGAGACCAGAGGCTTGAGATACATTCAAGTTTGACTTAACGGGTTGGGCCTGAGTTGATTTCAATCTGGAATAGATAGAAAATTAGAAATGTATTCAATGGACGCTAGCAGAATAGGAAAAGTCTTCTTACCGGTCACTCAAAGTAAAGAAAAAAAAAAAAACCTTTGAAGTGAAAATAATAATTTCTTTTACTAATTGGAAAAAAAAAACACCTACAATTGTCCATTTGACTAATGTGCGCCAAGTTGTTATGTGGCCTCTTCCACCCTTGAACATACCAGGGCTTTTTCTGCAGCATAGGTCCCAAGAAGTTGGCTTTTCTTACCAAGCCAGGAAGCCACCACCTACAGAGATTATTGAATTCATTCATGATCAGATAGTTTAATTAAATTATGATGAAAAAAATTTATTTGCACTCTACCTGTTGCAGTAGTTTTTCTTTAGGCTCAGTTTGGAAGCAGTACAGATGCAAATATGTACAGCGTAAATACATACAAAATAATACAAAATATAAGGTTTTGCACTCTACATATTTGCATTTGTACTCCTTCCAAACTCAGCCTTAGGAACAATTTCTCCAATACAAAGCACAACATCCTCTTGTTCATTTAAAGAAAGATGGGAGACCATCCATGGCAGAAAATCCTCCAGAAACACTATAGGAACGCTGCATATGAACTACCAAACAAGTGACGCCTGCTCTTTGGAAGAGAATCATTGCATAAGCAAAGGGAAAACCTGCATTTAAATGTATGTTATAGTAAGATGCACCACTGCATCATTTCAATATACAGTCAACAGAAAAACAGGATGAATGGTGTTAATCACAAAAGGAAATGAAGCATGGCAAGTGAAGCAATCTACTTCGGAAAGGCATGAATTGTGCTAGGTTGTCCATATTGGATGGTATTTGGTCATTCAGATCATTTGAAACCTAGAAGGCTAGGACTATTTTACATCATAGTTTAAGATCAGTAGCATTCAAGTAGCATAACAAGTCAACTGACATGGTAATCCACTAACTATGAATAATAGAATCCCTGGTGCACCTTTACTATTAACTAAAACATAGTTGGCAAGGCGACTAGGCGAGGCTAGGTGACCATGGGGCGCCCAGGCGCCTAGGCGATGGAATCTATAAATATAGAACTTATAGATTTCAGCCATATAATCATATTAATATATATATTAATGATAGGTTTGGCTGTTAAAAACTGAAGTGAGAAGTGTTCCCTCAAATTCAAATTCTGGGTTTGGTGGAACTTGGGATTGAGAAGAGCCCTCAAGGACACAGAACTGAATTGTACCTCTAATCTCCTGTCCATTCTTGATGGGGTCTTCTTTGAGCCAACAAAAACAGATAGTAGCATCTGGGCCTCATCTCCTTCTGGATCCTTTACTTGTTCCTCCTTCTTTAAAGCCCTATTGCATCTGGAAAATCCTATCGGCTTGTCATTCCTTGTCAAGGATGTGTCGTGTCGACCTATACCTCCGAGGGTTGGGAGTTTCTGTTGGGAAGCTTTTCTGGAAAAAAATAACACAGGTGACTTACTTCAAAGAAAAAGACCCAACAGTTGTTTATCTTCACACTGGTGTATTCTCTGTAGAGTTGCTGGTGAGTCCGGTTACCACTTACTAATATCCTGTGTTTTGGTAAAAAATATTTGGGAATGGTTTGCTTCTTTGTTTGGGTGCAGGTGGACTCCCCCAACGAATGTGCAAAGCTTGTTTACCTCTTCCTCTGTTAACTGCCCAACAAAAAGATCAAGGATCATGTGGAGGTGTGTGAGAGTTGTTATTTGCTAGACAATATGGGAAGAAAGGAATTCAAGGATTTTCTCAGAAAAGGAGAGAGGGTTGGAAARTATGTTGGAAGTGATCCATATAAGGGTAATACACTGGTTGAAGACAATGGATGAGTTCATAGATTTTTCAACAGATGATATGTTAAGGATATGGAAAGAAATTGCAAGTTCAGTCTTGGCTAAGAAGACCCTGAATACTACATGGAATCCTCCTCCTCCTGTATTTATCAAATTGAATTTTGATGGTAGTAGCATGGGGAATCCAGGGCCTTCGGGTATTGGGGAGGTTTTACAAGATGAGAATGGTAATATAAAAGCTATGTTCTCTAGCTCAATTGGAGTGGTGGATTCCTTGAGGGCTGAGGTGTTAGTGGCCTTGGAAGGGGTACAAAGGGCTAAAGAACTAAAGGTCAAGAAGCTGATTGTAGAGGGAGATTCTGTGGTGGTAGTGAACTGGTTGAAAGAAGACAATTCTAAGCTTTGGAGTTAGAGTAATGAGAAGAGGAAATTTAAATGGTTGTCCAAGAATATGGAAGTTCAGTGTAATTGGGTTAAGAGAAGTGCAAACTCGTTTGCTCACGGTCTGGCTAGGCAAGGAGTGAATAGGACTTCTAGGTTTTGGGCTCAGTTGTAATTGTTTTGTTCTATTTCAGCTTGGGATTTATCATTTCCCTGGGGAGTTAAGATTCTTTAGCTCCCCTTTTTTTGTAACCTTATTTTATTTAATGAAATCTGTTGTTATTGATAAAAAAAAGGGAGGAGAGGAGTATAGGGCGGAGCCCCTGTTTTTTCAAAAAAAATAAGTGAAAAAAAAAAAGATGATGATGATGAGTGGATAAAGGGTGGACTGAGGAGTATAGGGGCGGAGCCCCTATTTTTTCGAAAAAAATGAAGAAAAAAAATGTCTGAGCTGAGAAGAGAGAACTCAGGACTGATTCGACTGAAATCTGGAAAAGAGAAGAAGAAGAAGAAGAAGAAGAAGAAGAGTGCAGGAAGGGAGAACTGGTAGAGCCCCTGTTTTTTCGAAAAAAAAAAAGGAAAAATTGTCTAAAATCTGGAAAAGAAGAAATAAGAAGAAGAAGAAGAAGAAGATTAGAAGATTAGAAGAACTTACCTGCTGGAGCTGAGGTGCAATGGAGTTGGGCTGGGGGTTGAAGCCTTTGGTTTCTTCCTCTCCAATCGAACCAAAAAAAAAACCTTATGACATAAAGAAAAAACAATACTTGGTCTTAATACTAAAATGATATCATGTAACCCGATTTATTTTAAAAGAATAAAACATCCAATAAAATATCAAAACAATAAATTAAAAAAAAAGTTTTTTAGATGAATATTGTATAAACTAGTTTAACACCCCTACATGCATATATTAAGTGACTATTTCCACTTTTTTCCTTATTTCTCTTTTAAACTAATATACTTGTTTACAAATGCATCCTAGTACTTTTTAATTCTCTGTTGAGACTGAGAATCAACTTAAAGTCTACAAACATTACTTGCACATTTTCTACTTTTCCTAGTGTTTACCTTTCGAATTTTTCACGTAAGTACAAGTCACCATCAAATTTCATTACTTAAGAAATTTCACTTCTAACTGACGTGGATGTAGAATGCTCCAATCTTTGGCACTATTAGTACTTCTTGAGGTGAGTATATCAAAATCAGACATACCAGGGCATATTTGTAAGACAATCAGACTCCATATTATGGTTGTCAGCCAAAAGGTCTCCATTGCAATTCCTTTTATCCAAGGAAATAACAATTTACAACAAGATTTCACACTTAATAAATCAGTAATGGTAAAAAAATTAAATAATCAAGCATAGATCAGATCATCTGATCTCAGACTATCACAAGCAAAAAATTATGCACAAAAAGCATCTATCAATGAATTTAAGTTGTGAGCAAAGGAAGGATGCTGACTCTTTTTTTCATCCATAAAAGAATTAACAAACTCTTTTTTTCCTAGTGCATAAAGAATATTAAAGTTGATTTTTAGAAAATAATCCAATTTCTCTTCTGCAGATGGAAGGCTTAAAATGCATTACCTGTACAAGGATGCTGACTCATGTTATGATGCTTTACATGGGCATGCTATGATGCTCCGCGTGGTGCATTTGATTGGTCGGGAACCTAACAATGATAGCAAACAAAAAAGCATATCAGTAAATACATTTAGTATGTCAATATTGGATTTGTACTTTGAGACATGTATTACCTCTGTGCCTCTTGAAGGTAAATCCTGATCATCGTTTAGCATGCCTTGAAGATTTTGAGGAAGTATGGATATTATCCTTCCCACTTGGCGTTGTACATCACTACATGCCCTAGTCACCTTTTCAAGGCTATCTTCTATCCGCTAAACCATTCACCGCTATCCTCATGCCCACAACTTCCCCTTGTTGATGTAGACTCTAATGCTCTATTTCTAGAACTCATGCTTAGAGTGGAAGGAGTAACACCCAATCCATATGTTCACATGTACCCATGCCGTTCCGCTCCAAATATTTAATCAAAGTCATCATCATTAGGGATTGAGGACCCACCAAAAGTCGTGGCCCGTTGTGATGTCAGGTCCTCTAATTGTACCTACAAAAGACAACATAGTTGTTGTGAGGCTAATATGAGGTTTTTATACTAAATTGTATAATTAACATTATATATGTGTGTGTGTTCACTATTTCAATAAACAACCATTGCCCTTCTCGATTCTGCATCTACAGGCACCCCATCTTTCCTTGTATGTGTTCTGACCCACACAACTCCCTTGCTTGGTTGTGCCCCATCACCGGTTTTCTGCATCTATATCCACACTAAGCATTAGACATTATCATCACTTCACTACAAGAAAAATGACTTTTAGCGGCAGTTCTGACTGCCACTAAAGGTCCCTAAAACTGCCACTATAGACTTTACCGGTAGCCGGCTAACTGCTGCTAAAAGAACTATCGCTAGACGTTCTAGCGGTAGTTTTCTTGGCTGCCGGTATAAATTTTAAACTGCCGCTAAAAAATACTTTTAGCAGCAGTCGCGACTGCCGCTAATACTAGATCGGCTGCCGCTAAAAGTCCTGACCGCTAAAGATGTCCCTGATCGGCTGCGGCAGTCGTGACTGCCGCTATAGCCATATTTTTTTTCATATAACCTTTTTTTTAATTTTTTTCTAATTTGCTTTGAATAACCTGTTTTTCCTATATTCATTTTAATTGAAATGAAATACAAAAATTAAAAAAAAAAAAGAGAATTACAAATAAAATTTTAAAACCCATTCTCAATTCAAAACATTTAAGTCACAAATACATCTTAATTTCAATTTGATAAACTCTTGCTTTGTACAAGAAATGTTCTCTTCACAACTCCTGATTGAATTAACCCTTATTCTTTTTTTTTTTTTTTGATCAATAACACTTTCATTAATTCATCAGTAGAAAATTTACAAGTGAAAGACAAACACACTTATCTTCCAAGAGTCACAAAGAGCTTCAAGAAAGGAAAAAAAGAAAATACAAAGACACTAACGTTACAGCTTAGCCCAAAACAATGAATCCCTTTCTGCCCCTTGTTTAGCTAAACCGTCAGCTAGGGAATTAGCAGATCTTTTAATCCAACATGTCTTAACTTCCATCTCCCGCMCCAGCCACTTGAATTTCCTCTTCTCATTATTATACTTCCATAAATCATTTTTATCTTTAGTCAACCACCCTATCACCACCTCTGAATCCCCTTCAATTATAAGTTTCTTGATGCTCAATTCCTTAGCTTTCCGGACTTTAGTCAGCCACACAATTATAAGTTTCTTTAGTCAGCCACACTTTCATTAATTCACCACCTCTGAATTAACCCTTATTCTCCTTGATCCTTTTGTTTCAAATGGTGGGTACAACCTTCAAGCCCATGCCAACAATATGGGCTACAGTGGAGGAAGCATTCAGTGATTGGATAATATTGTTGGCATACAGAATTTCTTCTGAAATACTAATATACTATGATTAAGGCACTGATTCATGTGAGTTGTGCTTCTTGTTGGTGAGTCCCCATGCTCAGGAGAAGGTGGAAAGACAATACATTCATCACCAGTGTCTTCATCTGTATGTGGGAAAGAAGTTTGGACCTCAAGACTGTTCACCCATTCATCAACTCTTGTCAAGGAGGATGATTCTGTAAAGAATGCAACCCATTGGTTCTGCAGCGATGAACCAGAAACACCTTCATGAAATGTACCCCGCTTCTTGTTGTTGCTAGCAGTGTTGTTGGTGCTGCCATTATTCTTGGATTGTTTCGTGAATGATTCTGGAGATTCTGTCTTGCCTGACTCTGCGATAACTCGGTTGATTTCCAGAGTATCTGAAGAATATTCACCTTTCTAGTTCATAATATGGTCAATGGAGGGCAGTTTCAGTTTTACATTGGATGGTTTGTGAAGGTTTCTGTGGCTCCAGAGGAACAACTTCCACCATAGCCTCCTACTCCTTGAAGACAGAACTTGACTTGAAGAATGTTTCTTCAACATCACTCTGTTGGCACTGCAAGGAGTGATAACTCATATTAGATGTCCTATCTGACAGAAACTGGAACTGAGAAAACAAAAAAAAAGGTACAGAAAACATTCTTCAGAAAATAAATAAATAAACAAATCAGTTGGTAATATCAAAAAATATGATATATGGGTATCAAAAGGATTGTACCAGTAGTAAAGGGCCTGAAAAATCGGCCGATATGTATCGTATCGAGGGCTTTCCGATACAGCTTTAAATAGGATTATAATGTTTACAGCTTTAAAAATCAAAAATTAATTGAATTCTTAAACTTCAAGGTTACTAAACAGCTCTTAATTCACAAGAAAACTTCAATTGATGTTAAAACCCAAAATATTTGAAACATACATACAAATTTGAAGTAGAAAGGCCTTCAACTTGCCATCCTTCCTTCTCTTAATTGTTTAAGCACCGGGAAGTTTCTTCACTGCCTTCTTTTCCATCTCACTACTCAACTTCATGTGCTTGGAATTTGTCTCTAGTATCATATGGTACACAACTACATAGAAATTTTTGTCAAAGTTAATTCAGACACAGGTTTTCAATATACTGAAAGAATGACATTCTCCTATACCATAAATTTGCTTTGTTGGTGTTGAGAGGAGACGTGAGAAGAGCAGAACATATTAGATTAACCTAAACAAACTCTTCCTAAGCGATTTCTTTCTGTAGCTTTTACAGAATTCTCATAATGTACAATCCCTCAATGCAATAATTCAAATACTATGCATGGAAATTGGAAAATGAAAAATATCTAACCAATGCAAGTTAATACCACCAATACCACTAGCTAAATTATCTGCTGATGACAGCATAAGAAACTTTATGCTGGTTGATGGGTGGTGGTTTAAACAAAAATGGATCTTAAGGTCTAGGATGATGCACAGAAGTAGATAGTTTGATTGAAGGACTGGCTGATGATAATCTTAGGTGATAAAATCTGGATTAGCAATGATACATAACTTATTCACCTGAAAGAAGGAAGAATTCAGATTTGCTTTCCAATTCTACTCTTGCTACTTCCAACCTTCAACCAATATCTATTTTGCCCTTCACTTTAATGAACCGGTAGATCTAGGAAACCACCTGAACAAGGTATCCAGGTGTGCAACTGTTGCTCTAGCCTCCACTATTTGAGATCGAACTAAAAATGCCTTGTCAACAATATGGGGTTGTTGGCTACATGAATCCTATATTTCACTGTTCCAGATACGAACTGACTTATACTAATCAAAAAAAAATTGCTGACTGAAGTATACAAAAGAAAGCTCCAGGTAGAAGAGTTCTTTGCAAGTTACAACCCAGGAGGACAGATTGAGACTAAAAAGGCTTGCTTTGTCCAGGAGAATCAGGCCTTAAAAATCAAAAACATACTCTGCCCTAGCATCACCTCCCATGTTAGTAGATTTATCTGCAACCTTATTGTTTACTCTGTTACATTGGCATCTGGACCTGAAGACACAGTAATGCAATTTCATCCACTGGGAAGTTATTAATAGGAACCTAATTATTACTGTGTATGATGCCTCCTGCTGAATTTCATTGTCTCAGATGATTAGAGTCAGATGATAGGAGTCAACTTTGCCTAGGGAATCTTCATCAGGAGTGGATCTAAGCCGTTAGCCATGTAATATTTATATTCCATGTGAATGGCTTGGGAAAGTACACTGCCTATGTTACCCACATACACAGCAAGGACATAGCACTGGATACATAGTTTACCTTAAAAATTGGAATATCTGAAATAATAGAGCACCAATGTACAGGCATCTAGTATCACAGGAGGAGGCTAAATTACCATAAAAAAGAGGCAACTAAATTTTGCCTCCATCCCTGATGCAACTATTTGTTGTTTATTTAATCATTTTATAATTTTATATTCATTATGTTTTGAGATGTGTAGATTGATTTACTAGTATTTTTTTCACAGAATGCACTCCAAATAACATATTTCCTTTGGATATGGGTAAGAAACTGTTCTACTTATCATCTCTTGCACTTTTTCCTAGACTCTTGCATCTTGGAAGTGGAGACTTAGATGCTGGTTTTGTAACAGAGAAAGAAGATCTGCAACCTGCTGAATTCCCCAGTCATTAAAGCTTCTCCTAGAGGAAGGATTCCAGCATAGGCTGTGCCCAAATTTTCTATGAATTTTCTGTGTTTTTATATTTTTATTATTGAATTATAATGCAACAGGTCAACTTGTTTGGCCTATTGACAGAAATGTGCAGAGTTAAGCATGCGGAGGTGCAGGGGGACTTTCAGCTGGTAGTTGGTTGGTCTAAATATGGTAGTGATGGCCCTTGGAGATTTAAACACTTTTTAGACAGAAGCTACAGATTGATTAATTGTATATCTTGCATGTCCTCTCTGTATTGTTGCTTTTCATTATCAAATGAATTGTATACGTTGAGGCTTGTAGTCTTCTAAAGATTTGATTCACCAACTTCTTCTTCTTTCTAACTAACATGATACATATGTTACTTATCCTTTCAGATTACATGTGTATTCAGCCTCTACATCTGGTGTGCAACAGCAGATCCTTCAAATCCAGGAGTGTTTCAATAAAAAGTATGTTAATACTTCAACTGATGAAAAGTATCCTCAGCCCAAGGGATCTAAACTAAGATGCGGATCAAGTTCCTCAAAGCAAGATGCAAATACATCATTGTACTCCCCAACTTCTTTGTAGCATGAAGCTCTGCATGACAAAACCTCCATGGTGGCAGCACTGTCCCCAGCCTTCTCTAGAAGAGCTACTGCCCAAGACAACCACTTAATGGCATCAGGAAACTACCCCTGCTTATAATTATCCAATCCCTTCTGCTTTACAGCCAAAGCTGTAACTCCAGCAGGTGGGGGTGGGAAACCTTCAAGCTCTATTGTACTACCCACATCACCTCCTCCAAACTCTGAACCCAAGCCCCAGTGAATAACCTTCATGCAGTTCAGCTTACCTGCTCCCAAGTCTAGTCAGATTCAACATTTGTTGACTCCAAAAGTGCTTTGAAAGCAGTTTTTGCTTAGGCATACAATCACATAAAATCAACAAAATACTCACTAGTTTAAAATCAGTAGCAGGTGATTTAAAATGGGAATAATAATAATCTACTTTAAAATCAGCAGCAGGTGAGTGTGTAAGGGAAATGGGAATAATAAAGAAGCCTTCTGATCTTGTTGCTGATTAAAGAAAATGTTAAGCCTTACTAGAATAATTCAACAAATGACACCTTGTAAAATGCTCAGTGTGTCAACAAGGTATTTCCTCCAAACAATTACACTATTGTGAAGCCTGAGGCTGTTTACATTCTTAACCTCCTTGAGATTTAAGGTTGATGTGAGACCATAATATTTATGGTTGAGGGAGCTACAGTCCGTAGTTTTCTGTCAGATGGTAGCCATCCTGATGAAAACAGCCACATCATCCCTGAACCTTGCACATGAGCCATTATGATGAAAACATGTTGTGTCTGAATGAATAAATTAACTAGGCCTATCGTCATTTTCCCAACTTGGGGAGAGACCATCAGATTTATACAAATTTGTATAAGGATTACTCAAAAATTTTCCCAATTATTTTAGAAAGCATATGTTGGTTTTCATTTTCCAGTCATCCACTTGGACCTGTACAGCACCAGTGTCGGAGATCCTTTCAGTTGTGCATTGGTGGTACTTGGGCAGGTGGAATTTTATTGTATGATAAATGTAGTAGTTACATGATTAGAAACATTTTTGTAGTGGCTCAAATCTGGTAGATACTGTAATCATTAGTACAGGAGAAAAGGAAATGTAGCTTTGGTGTATTGGTAATGTAGTTCCAAGTCTGTAGGTGTGGAATTGGATAGTATTAGTCAAGTGCTTCAATCTAGGTGCTTCATATTGGTTGTTACTGTGCAAACTCACCTCTTGAAACCATAATTGGATGATCATGGACCGTTGCTTGTTTCACTTCCAACTGTTGGTAAAATATTGATGGGGTATTGGTAAGATCACTTGGTGAAACTTTCTTGTTCAAAGGCCTAATGTATTGAAACAACTGGGGTGCAGGGAGTTGATTTCAAAGAGTCAGGGCGAGATTGCATTGTATAGCAAGACACTATTGATACACATACATATAAACATACACTATTGATACACATGCATGGATACTTAAATGGAAAAACAATAACAGGTGGGGGGAATAGGAATAGGGGAGGAAATGAGTATAGTTTTACTACCTGAACCCAGATGTTGGATTGGAGTTTCACCAACTATGGCTGCGGCAAAAGTCTTGATAATCCATTTGGGATCTGATCTGATTAAGGTTTGACTTTGACTAAATTTTATGCGATCGCACACACATACATGGATAGTATATGATGGTATAAAGTTAATAGTTAATAAATTCAGTGTTTTATATTTATATAAATTTATAAATTTGTTATATAAGTTAAAGGGTGATTAATTTTTTTATCTTTTAGTTTTTTTCGATAAAACAAACTTGGATCTAATCTGAATCTAATCCAAGACCCTAGATCTCATCAAATTTTGGATCAATCCAGATTTAAGTTTTAGATAATCAAATTGGAGTTGGATGTGGCTCGATCGAAATCTAACCTAATTACAACCTAATCAGAATATCAGTTATCTCCAACCCAATGGGAGCTGAAGATAAAACTCCAGCACCGAAGGAGAAGAACCTTGTTGAGGAGTAAAGTATGTTGTAGAGTGAAATTCCAAATATTTCTTGTCAATCTGGGAGAGAAGAGTCCATAACTAATTTCAGGGAACATAGTGTTCTCTTTGTGGAAGAATTCGACAACGAGCTTGAAAAAACATCTTCAGGTGAAAACATGATAAAAAAAAAAAAAGAAAGAAATACGACCTTGGAGTTTTCTGTGGTTCCCAATTAGTTCACCTACTTCATTGCTGGGGCAAGGGCCAAGTGGTCGCTGCACCAGCATTTGTTGCATTGCACTGAAACAATGGGTTTGTTGGCTGTAAGGGATCATTGTATATTAAAATTCAGACAGATCTACAATTTTCTAAACAAAATAAAATAGAAATTGAAAACAATTGAAAGCTGACCTTGCAAAGATCCGAAGGATATGCGAACGAATAGCTTCAAGGGATCAAAGACGTAGAGGTTCTCCCAAATCCTCCCCTGTGAAATGCTTTTTAGTATGGGATTGAAGAAACAAATAAATAAAAATGTGTGGCTCAAAGTGATGATTATAAATAAAATCCTAGCCTCCTAGAATCTAAAGTTCACTGGATGAAGTCGGAATCCACGTCATCCGTTGGAGATCAAATCAGAGAGAGAGAGAGAGAGAGAGTTTACCTACTAGATGTCATTGCTGATCGCTGGTTGGATGCCGTTCGGTGGTGTGGGCAGACCGAGAGAGAAGTGAGAAAAGAGTGTGGGCACAGGTCTGATGGTAAGAAGAGAGAGAGAAAGAGGGGGAGGGGAGAGGAGGAAGACAAATAAATCAGAGAAGAGAGGAGCGGGTAGCGGGATGCGGCAGGAAATCTAATTTTTAGCGGCAGTTTTAAATAACTGTCGCTAAATACTAATATTTCTATCTCACGCAATCTTGCATTACTCTTGATCCCCCAAAGTGTGTACTTTCGTTGAAACCGATTTCTTCTAACTATAGCATTCCATTTCTACAGCTTTATAAAATTACAAGTGTAAGGCCATGTATATTGTAACACTCAAACAATATAGGCTAATCAATAAAATTAGAAGATAATACCTTGCCCTCATCAGAGTTCCAAAAAAGTGACAAGAATCTGCCATTAATAACTAGGAATCCCTTTAAGGCAATTCCACATTGCCTCATCAGGGGTAATTAGATCATAATACATGGTTTTCAAATCTAAATTGTATTCTTTCTATTTTTCCCAATCGAGGATAATACCCTACAAATAACACACTTAAACAAATGTAATAGCAATTAATATATGAATTCAAACAATTAAACATGCGTAAATTAAAACAAAAACATAAGTACAAGATTCCAAATGTCCTCTTTACGTGGAGTTGGAAATGAAGTCCACTGCTTGAAACTTAAAGGACAGTGATAATCATTCTTTGCAATTGTCTCCATAAACTTAATCAGTTTTTTTGTATTTTCTTCGATTCCTTGGCCTAATCCATTTAATGTTATGGGGATTTTTTTCTTGGTAGCTCTTGTGGGGCCCCTATCCCTCCTTTGCACTAAGACTTCTATTTCATAATACATAAGAAGTTTAAATATTCAAAATGAATATAATAAAAATAAGACTCAAATAAAAAGATATTCATAAAATAATACAAATAGCTGAACCAACAGTATCTTCAACCATAATTTCCTACAAGAAAAAAAACAAATATTTTCAATAAATTTCAAATCGCATGTCCACCATAATAGAACAATACAAGCATAATATTTTAAATTGCATAAGCATATTAGAATAGCACATCTACTATCAAATATATCTTTTTTTGAATATTGAAAAAATTACTTCATTACCAAAATGTAAGCAAAGTTACAACACCCYATAGAGAGTCACAAGGTGTAACCTCTCTTGATATTACAAATAAGTGTAAGGAACCACATTTTAAATCATACAAACTAATCAACATTATCATCCTTTGACTCTTCCTCATATGTAGACTCATGTACATCATCTTCATTTCTCAATAGTTGTTCCACCAACATCCTCACGAACCCAATCAATGTTATCATCATAAGTGTCTTCCATTACATGTGTTCTAGGTGGCTCAACTTCTAAATCATCATCTCCATCAACCTCTTCAGCCTGTATATCAAATAAATCTCTTGGGATTGTCTTCATAACAACACTCCAATTGTCTTCATTAGRGTCTTTCACATAAAAAACTTGTTGAGCTTGTGAGGCTAAAATGAATGATTCATCCTCTGATTGTGAACTACACATCAAATGTGAGATATTAACTAGTGTATAGCCATACTCATCCTATTTTATTCCCCTATCTTGTGTCACATCAACCCAATCACATCAATGACTTTTGTGTGCAAGCCCCACGTGCATGTACATGTGCACAAGCTACTTGGCCGGTTTTGACATCTTCTCAAAGTTGGTGACTTCCATCGTGTCACACAGCATTTAGGTAACATGATTTTAACCTTGTAAAGCAAAAAATAACCGAAACCAACCCAATTTGATTGCACTCCGCCCAAATTTAAACCCTATAGTAGGGGGAAAGGGATATACCCAATTATGAAGATGGCTGAGGTAATATTGGAAGTTGGGACGTCAATCTGAGCAACTTGATGATAGCTTTACTTGAGATTAGGACATCAAGCAAAACAAGGCTGGCTATACATATCGGGTCAGTTAGGTTCGTAGTTGGAAGAATTGAAATCAGCTGCAATGAGAGGGAATGTCATTCCATCAAGAATAGAAAAAAGATTTCGATTCCACCCAACTAAACAGTTCGAATGTTTGATTTTAAACCCCTATTCCTGCAAACCTAACAGGATCATAACGTGCCTAAAATTCTCATAATAATTTAACTCAATGGTGTGAGTTAATGTTCCATAATAAGTGAAATCTCCAAAATTTGGATTTCTATCTCTTGAACTAGCAAAACTTAATGTCTTTGTCGTGACAACTTCACTATTTTGGGTCTTTTGTCATCATTCACGATCCTTGGTGTGAAATCGTCCTTCACACGATGGACATTTAGCCAACCATCTAATCTCCTCCAAAATTTAAAGGTTATTTTCTAATTCAAGGTTTGTAACCTAAAACACACCACAAAAAATGTTTGAGATGGATTTATGTTTACAAACAATGTGTAAGAAGTTGCATAATGCAAGATGATGATTCTTACATGTAACTTAAACCATTTATGAAATTTTAGATTCTGGATTTGTTTTATCTCTTTTTTTCTAAGACAGGTACTTCAATGTTGACACTTGATAATTGCAGCATGTTGTTTGCATGAACTTAAGGTTAGTATTCTTAAAATTTTTAAGATTAAAGTTTACTTATCAATATAAAAAACCATATTCAACAAAAAACTTACTCAATATAGGGGATCGCTTTGTCACAATTGAATAACACATATCGATGAGATTGGGCCCATGTGATGTCATCTAATTAGATATAGTCAACATTTCGACGATTTAGCATCTRAAACACTGAGAATCCTTGAATTCCAATATTTGCCTCGTCATTATTTCTTATTGGTTTGTTAATCCTTGTCTCTACAGTATGTAGGTATCATGAGCAAAAGGTTACATTCATCTGCCAAATAACCTTCTACTATAGAGCCTTTTGAATATACTCTGTTGTGGACATAGGATTTAAGCTTTCCAAGGTACCTAGATAGAGAGAATGAAATTTTAAATAATGATCACATATATGTACACACATATATTTGTGTGTGTAAATGTATTAAGCATTGAAGTGAATATAAAGAATTACCTCTCAATTGGATATATGCAGCAAAATTGTACTGGGCCACACATATTAGCCTCATATGCTAAATGTATTGCTAAATGCAACATGATGGTGAAAAATGGTGGAGGAAAGATCCTCTCTAAACAACAAAGTATTAGTGCAATCTCCCATTCCATTCTGCATAAGTCATTGGGGTTTAATACCTTTGAACACAACTTCCTAAAAAAATTGCATAGCTCAATTAAAGGGGAAGACACATTCTTAGGCAATGTTCTCCGCATGGGCAATGGAAGCAACTGTTTCGTTAAAACATGACAATCATGACTTTTGAAACCCCAAATTTTGCATTGCCTCACATCTACCAGTCAATATATGTTGGATGCATATCCATATGAAGCCTTAATTGATTTCAATAGTCTATAAAAAAAAAACTTTTTTCTCAATAGAAGATAAGGAGTAGCACGTAGGGGGGAAATATATAACATTTGATCCACGTTACTGAGGATGAAGCTCGGGCCTTATTCGCATTACCCTCAGATCTAAGCGTGCCTTTACATTATCCTTTATCTTACCATCAAGGTTCAAGAGGGTCCCCATTATGTTGTCACATATATTATTTTCTATATACATCACATCAAGATTATGATGACATAAGTTGTGCTACCAATACGGTAATAAGAAAAATATACTCCTCTTCTTCCGGTTAAAGAAACAATTCTCCAAATCAATGTTGTGTTTCTTTTTTCCCCAGTATTATACATTTTAATACATTGGACGATCATTCAAACCCACCAATCCAAATAAAGCATTAGGTAGTAGGTACATTGAATTTGTCTCAACATGGAATAAAAATTAAAAATTAGGGGTTTTTATGATTTAGTCCCCCTCAGAAAATCTAATACGTATGTTAAGTTAGATAGTAGGTACATTGAATTTAATGCATTTGATGACTAAGTAAATGTTTTGTTTCTTGTGAACCGGGTAACTGGTTCACCGGTCTAACCGGCCAAGTAAAAGATGGATTGAAAACTTGAAACTATTGGTTTTAGATGAAGACCAGAATTCTGTTTGTGAATGCACCCACCAGAAACTCTGTTTCATTGTGCACCGCCAATGAGAGAAAGCTTCAATGGTTCAGTTCCAGTCAAACATAAAATAATTCTGGATAGAAGTGGGCTTCAACTTTCTGTATGGAAGCCAAAAATTGAATGAACTTTAAAAAACAATTAAAGATGCTGAACTCAACTGCTAATGTTGTTACTAAAATAATTGAGAGCTGTTAAATCTTCAACCAAAAGCATCTTTGGTTAGGTCTAAGATGGAATAAAATATAATTAGTCGAAGAGAGAAAAACAAAATCATTATCTTGGGCCTAGAGCCAAAGTAAAAAAAAAAAAAGGAAAGAGAAATTTTATGTACAAGATGAAGATGAAACCAATTGCAAAATGAAAGTATGAATGGAGTGCAACCACTTTTTAGTAAAAATTTAATCAACACTAAAGTTCAGTTTGAAACCTTATATTTTGTCTTATTTTATATGTATTTATATTGTACATATTTATATTTGTACTCTTTCTAAATTGAGCTACTAAAATACCATGATYAAGATTCAAAATAGATTTACGTAACAAAAAAATCATAATCTGAGTACAAATTAGAACCACGCATACGAGTTTCAACTTTCAACTCCACATTTTAAAGAAAGAGAAATAATCATGGATATCTCTATAAAAGGTACCTAGACTCTAGACTCTAATTTAAAGGCCATAGTTATAAGAATTTTAAGATATAAACTACAAATTCATCTATATCATCTTTGTAAAACAGTAACTCCACATGCAATTCACAAGAAAAATGGATTTAAGCTTTTATCCTTTTGTTTTATAGCTTAAGTTTTTTTTCTTAATTAGGTACATATAAGGGGAAAATTCTATTATTAATTATAATGGTGCTTGATCAGGTTGCAAGTTGGGCAGGCTGGACCGGGTTTAAACTCAACCCAGGCCCAACTCTAAGAACCAGGCTTAAGGTCGGAGCCTAGACGAAGCCCGAGGGCAACTTAGATTTGTGCTTTAATTGAAATTTGATGCACTTGGGTTACTTGGGCCTAAGCTGGGCATAGGTTGGTTAATTAGCCCACAC